AGAAGGAATTTAAGATAGCACAGGGTTTTGGAGGGACACAGGGACTTGGAGGGAAGATGGGATTTAGGGCAACACAGGGATTTAGGGGGACATGGATTTGAGAGGAAAATGGGATTTGGGGGACACGGGGGATTTGGGGGAACACCCCCAGGATGTCCCCAGGGCTTCAGTGACCCCCTGCCCCTCCCTTCCCAGAGCACCTCCCGTGTCCCAGCTCCGCCCGGTCCCAGCCCGGGCTCCTGCTTTTCCCGGCTCTGGAAATATGTCCGAGGGAGTGGATCTGATTGACATCTACGCCGACGAGGAGTTCACCCAGGTGAGGGGTGGGATGGGGGTGCAGAATCCCCCCCTTTTTTTTGGAAGAGATTCCAGTGTCCTGCAGCTCATCCCAGTGGAAGATGCAGCTGGTGTGGCTGGGAAAAGGGAAGGATCATTCCTGGTCATTCCCAGATTCTGGTGGCTGCCACTCCAGCTGTGGTTAAAAGTTTTCCTGTGGGTTGTGACACATGGCTGGTTACAGGATATTTGGGATTTAAGGGTTTAGCTGCGTCCCGGTTGGAAAAATGAGAAATCCCAGCTGGAAGAGGCACTTCCAGGGAATCACACTGTAAGGGCATACTGAGAGCCAAATCCATGGGATCACCCAGCCTGGGAGCTGTGTGGGGACYGCTTGTCCCATCCCAGGAATATCTGGGATTCATAGGAGGAAATGGTGAAGAAAGGGGATGTTGGAGAAGCAAATTTTAGGGAGTTCGTGGATCTGGGAGAGCAAATGTGAAGGCAGATGTTGGAAAATAAAAACTATCATGGAAAGCAGTTGGCAAGAGGAAAAGTCATGGAAACTGGAAGCCAAGCACCTGGAGGAAGGAATCACTGTGGAGAAAGGAATTCCTATGAGCTCCTGGAGGGATGAAGAGGAGATTGTTGGTTATTGGATGAGAATATCCCATGGAATCTCCCGGGAAGACCAAGTGGATGGAGGATTCTCAAAGCTGGAATGATGATTCAGGCCAACGACTCCAGCATCATGCTCCCTTCGGGATGTATRGCAGGAGGAAATGTGGAATTAATCCGTGTCAGGATCAAAGCAGTGGGAAAGTGTTGTGGTGTCCCTGTGGCACTCCAGGGATGCCACTGTAATTCCAAATCCCACAATCCCACGTGGTGATTCCCACTAATAATGCCCAGCTTCATCCCTGTGCAGCTCAGCTCAGCAGGCATGGATTGGGAGCTGGAGAATCCCTAAAATCTCCCGAGTTGAAGCTTCTCTAAGTAACAGAACTAATGGATTCCAAAGGATTCYTCCTCTAGCCCCTCCTTCCTATTTTTGGTCTTGACTTTCTGAAACTTCCAGCCTTGGGCTGTGTCCAAAGACTCCTGGTGGAGGTGGGAGTGTGGGAGTTGGATTAAACAAACACTTGAGCTTTCATGGGAATGAACACAAAACTACAGGTCCTTCTTCAAATACTTCTTTTATCAGGTCCGTGGAAAGATACAGAAGCAAAAGTTCAGGAAGAGGGAAAATGATTGGAGTTTTGGATTTCCATGATCTTTGGAAAGATGTGCACTGAGCATCCTTCCCTGTCCCACTCCCCGTGGGATGTTTGCAATTCCCTGACCCTCAGACTGTCTCCAGTACAAAACATTGTCCAAACTGCCTGGAATTTAAAATTTGGGAGCAGAACATCTGGTTTTTATGGCCTGCCAGCTCCTATGGGACAGATCCTCACAGAGTGATTTTGTGGGATGTAACTCTCGGCAAAATCTTGGCAAGGAATTGGGATCCATAGTAAACAGCACTCACTGGACGTTCCAAATTAATTATAGCCCAGGACAGAGTGGGAACTGGGAGGTAGATCTATGACATGCTGGAATTCCCAGCTCTAGAACTTCCTTAGCTTCCTGTGYCAAGAGGAGGAATGAGACATGTGGGAGCTCCTATGCTAAAAAGGGCTTTTTTTCCAGAAAATGAGTGAGCTTGGGGTGCTGGGCACAGTTTGAGGGGGATGTGCAATTCCCAAGTTGAAATTTTGGGAAGTGTGTGTTGCTAAGGAGTGAGAGGCTCATCCCTGTTTTCCAGCATTTGGTTTTCCAGCACTGAACTCTTGCCTTCCAAAGTGGGAATTTCTCCCTGGTGGCTTCCCAGARAAGCGACTGAGTCTTGCCCTGTTGTTTGGGGTCCCAGTGGGCTGGTCCTTGGAATGTGCTGGAGCTAAGAGGGGGTTTAGACGGGATATTGGGAAATATTTCTTCCCTGTGAGGATGGTAARGCACTGGAATGGATTTCCCAGGGAAGCTGTGSCTGCCTCGTCCCTRTAAGTGTTCCRGGCCAAGCGGACAGGGAGCAACCTGGGATAGTGGAAKGTGTYCCTGTCCATGGCAGGATGTGGAATGAGATGATTCTTAGGGWMCTTATTCCAACCCAAACYATTCCATGATTCCATGAAAGCAGGGCCTGTCACCCTGTGTTTAGGGATTACCCAGGTGAGGGGGTGGCTGTAATCCCAACTGTGCACTGACCCAAACCAAGTGATTTGGGCCTTAAACCTTTGGACTCGACTTGGAAATTCCACTTGGGAATTGGAACARCAGATTTGGAAATAGCAAAGAAGGCTTCCCAAGCAGGGATCTCACAGCATTTTCCCAGCAGGACCCGGAGTTCAGTAATGCTGACCAGATGGATCTGTACGATGACGTGTTAGCAGCCAGCTCCCAGCCCCAGGAAAAGCGTTCCAGCAGCTCGGARGCGCCTCTGGAGACCCGTCAGGAGCCATCTCCCAAACCCAACAGCAAACCCCCAGCAATCCTGTACACMTACAGCGGGCTCCGGAACAAGAGGGCCGCTGTCTACGTCGGGAGCTTCTCTTGGGTAAGTTCACATTCCTGGGAAATTTGGGAACCTGGGTAACTCCCAAGGGGCTGCTGGGCTCTCTCAGGGAGCTGCAGGGGTTTGGAGGGGGGTGCTCCTTCTCAGTCCACGTTGTCCTGGTGCTCTGAGATGGACTGTGATCTGGGCTTGGCYTTGTGATCCTCAGGGTAAAGGGATTTGTATGCCTGAGGAGTTTCTGGGCTGGGGTATCTGCTGGTGCCCCTTCAGAGCTGTGACTTCGGGGGCTGCTCCTGAGTCACCTTTTCCTGTGCATAGATRCAGGGACAGTTTTAAGAAGGCTCCATCTTGTATGGAGAACGGGGAGACCTCTGATACCCATTCCCAAGGCTTATTCCGGATGATTTTAAGCTCCCTGAAAGAGTCTGGGGGTGACATGCCTCAGGTGCATGGGGGACACTGGGAAGAGACATGGATATCAGCCTGTTCCCTGTCCCCTCAGTGGACAACTGACCAGCAGCTGATCCAGACCATCCGCTCCGTCGGAGTCTACGACGTGGTGGAGCTGAAATTCGCGGAGAACCGAGCCAATGGCCAATCCAAGGGGTGAGAGCTGCTGGGATTTGGGGTGGGAATGGCAGGAGCCAGGCCCTCGCTGTCACATCCATTGTTTTGTGGAGGGTGAGGGAGCAGCCGGCGCTTTTCCTGCTTGGCACAGGGGATTCATGGAGAGTCCCAAAGAGCATGGAAAAGTGAGGAGGGGCCATGGAACACTGGGATGGGATCAGGAGGAGAGTCCTGAGGGGTCTCTGCAGCGGGTTCAGGGCTGAACCTCCCTCTCTTCCATGCAGGTATGCGGAGGTGGTGGTTGCCTCTGAGAACTCAGTCCATAAACTCCTGGAGCTGCTTCCCGGGAAGATCCTGAATGGAGACAAGGTGGAGGTGAGGCTGGCGACCCGGCAGAACCTGTCACAGTTCGAGGCTCAGGCTCGCAAACGTGAGTGCGGCACCGGCATGACACGGGCGGGGGGTTCCACCTCACACACATCCCAGATCCCCTGAATCAGCTGCCAGGCCCAGCTYAGCGAGCCCTTGGGATGGGGGGAGACCCTGCCAGGAGCGTCTGGGGGTTGTTTTTCCCATTCCTGAGCCGGATTAGCTCCTGACCCGAGTCTTTATGATCCCCTTTTAGGTGCTCCCACACTGCGAAGATCCCTCGTAGCCTCCTCCTCCTCCTCTCCAAACTGAATGGGCTTAAGCTCTTCAGGCTCTCAGCATAGCTAAGACCCTCCATATCTATTAGTAGCTCCTCTCTGGATCTGCTCCAGAATTTTTCCATCCCTGCGGAGGTAAGGTGCCCAACACTGGAGGAATATTCCAGCTGGGGCCTGGCCRTGGGCGTCCCTCAGTGGCGATACGTGGTCCTGGCCTCACTCCGCAGCGATGCGACGGGATCTGCAGGGATTGTCCTGGCAGGAGCGTGTCCAAGGTGGTCTTGGCCAGCTCTGGTCATTGTACATCCTTTGGCATGTTTTGTGCAAGGAAAACCCCCTTTCCCAGCCGAGTTGCTTCAATCCCTTCCTCCAGCTCCAGTGCCYAAGGGGATCAGCTGCTTGACTTAGGCTGTGTCCCAACTTGCCCTGGAGTTTTGGTGGAGCAGGGAGTGTTCCCTGGGACCAGTTCTGGCTGCCTCCAGGGCACAGCAGAGGTCCTGTGCACCCTTTGTCACCGCTGGGAGCCGTGGCTCCTGTTACACCCCTCCTGTCTCATCCTTGAAGCCAACTTGGATRGAGCAAGGCTTCTTATCCCTCTTGGAATGCTGAGTTTTCCTTCCTCCAGCAGCAGCTCCATTGCTGTCAGCATTTGGGTTCTGTCCCCTTGTGTTCCTCCACGCTTAGGCCTTTCCAAATCCTTGTGTAGATCTCAGGTTCTCTGGGTCGCTGGATGCCTTTGGGGATCTCTTACCATTCCTTGTGGCTTCTGGTTCCTATCTCTGTGACCTGCCTGTCCCCAGGGCACCGTGCGGGGTCTTGCTGTAGAGCTGGGCCCCTCTTGGAAAAACACATGGAAGCAGAGGCAATGTGTGGCTGGAYGGATCTTTCTCTGGGCACCTCCAGCCCTCTGGGGGTGGGAGGAAGAGGAGGAGCAGGAGTTCTCAGAGACCTGGACACCCTCCAGCTGCACCTCACCACTCTTTCCCCGTGCCAATTCCAGGTGTGCCACCACGGGCCCACTCCCGGGATTCCGTGGATGCGGTGGACGGCCGGGCTACACCGACGGAGAATGCGCTGCCCCCCGCCCGCCTGGAGAAGCCCCCCTCAGTCCTGCCCTTCTTCAGCCGCCCCCCCGCACTGCCCCTCATGGGGCTGCCCCCTCCTCCCATGCCCCCTCCGCCTCCCCTCTCCTCTGCTTTTGGAGTCCCTCCGCCTCCTCCTGGAATTCCCTACCAGCACCTGCTGCCCCCACCACGGCTGCCCCCACCCCTGGCTGTGCCCCCGCCGGGGGCCGTGCCCCCCGCCCTGCACCTCAATCCCGCCTTCTTCCCGCCGCCCACCGCTGCCCTGGGACCCCCTCCGGATACCTACGGCAAAGCCATGGCTCCCTACAACCACAGCAGGTGAGCCAAGYGGTAACACGGGGTGGAATGCTCGGGAGGATCCCGCTGACCCATCTTTCGCCCTGTGCCGACAGCCGGGAGCTGGGCCCACCAATCCCGGCTGTGAGCGAAGGGGAGTTTGAGGAGATCATGAACCGCAACCGCGCCATTTCCAGCAGTGCCATTTCCAAGGCGGTGTCCGGCGCCAGCGCAGGTACTTCCCGTGTCCCTCCGTGTCCCCCATCCTGGGAGGGATTCCTGCTCCTGACACCCTGCTCTGCTCCCCCAGGGGATTACAGCAATGCCATCGAGACGCTGCTCACAGCCATCGCCGTCATCAAGCAGTCGCGCGTGGCCAACGACGAGCGGTGCCGCGTCCTCCTCTCTTCCCTCAAGGATTGCCTGCATGGAATTGAGGCCAAATCCTACAGCAGCAGCTCCAGCAGCAGCTCCAGGTATCCAGGTACCCCCCTGGATCCAGAGAACGGGATCCTCCCCACAGGTGAATGACTAAAAAGTCACTCTTTGGGTTCTGACTCTTCCCAAAGGAAAAGGCATCGATCCCGGGAGCGCTCTCCCAGCCGGTCTCGTGAGAGCAGCCGGCGGCACCGCGATCTGCTGCACAGCGACGATCGGCACGAGGAGTATTTCCAGGAGCGGAGCCGGGAGCACGAGCGGCATCGGGACAGGGACAGAGACAGGGACCGGCACCACTGAGACAGGTGGGAGACTCAGGAATCCGCTGGAGGTGTGAGGGATGAGGGAAGGGTGCGCTGACCGTTCCTCTCCTGTCTCCCAGCAGGAATTTGGCAGGAAGTGGTTTTTAATGGACTTGTATCTCCTCACCTCGACCAGGACGCCGTGCCCGAGGCTGCTCCGCCCCATCCCGGCCCCTTCCCTGCCACTCCCAGCCCTCTCCAGGCGGGACCCCCGCCCACACCTCGTGGCCTTGGGAATCCCCCCACCGCTGCTGCTGCTTCCTGGGGCCATCCCACTCTGCTCCATGGACACTCGGACCCAAAGAGAAATGGTGCTTTTATTCCATGGAGGGAGGTTTGTGAGCCCTTCCCAGTSTGGAAGGGAACGGAGGGGACAAAGCCCTCCCCGTGCAGCTTGGGGGCTTAAGAGATGCACAGCTCCCAATCCCAGGATCAGGAGCCATGTGCCGTCCTCTGGATTGCTTGGGGACACTCCTGTCCCCATCACCCTGGCGGGACAGTGTACCATGCTCCTCCTTTGCCCCCTCACCCTCCAGGAGCTGGGGAAAAGGGGCTGGAGCTGGGCCAGGGGTCACCCTCTCCTCTATCCCAACATTCCCCACAGCAGCATTCCCACCCAAAGAACAGCTCCAGCCTCTCCCACAGAACCTTCCTTGTTTTAGAGGAAGCAGAAGAGGCAGGGCAGGCTGTGACCCGCTCATGTCCCCTCATGTCCCCTCAGGATCCCGAGCAGGAGAGGGAGAGCCCAGGAGGGTCAGGATGAGTCAGGACACACCGGGTGACTTTCAGGGCTGGAATCACCCCCGGGTGGGAAAACCCAGGCCCTGGGAGTCTTTTTAAGTTGAAGTAACCCAAATTCAGGAAAAACCACCCCAATTTTCCCAAGCCCCACGAGGTGGGAGCACTCACCAGGAGAGCTCTGGGTTTTTTTTACTTACCACCACAGATTTTTAGTTTCTTTCCAAATAGTGGAGGGGGGCAAAAGTTGCCCCCAAATTGCAGAGCAAATCCCTGGAAGCCCCGGCGAGGTGCCGCCCCTCCTGCTCGCAGTGATTAGATTTGTCTTTGGATAGGTTGGAATTGTGTAATAAACTCAGATGACGTCAGTCTTTTATATAGCACTTCTGTTGCCTTTCTACGGTGGGATTTGGGATAATGAGGGAAGGGGAGGGATTTGGGGACACCTCTGCGCCTGTTGTCCCTTACCCTTGTCCTCCTCCAACGGGCTCCTGTGCTTCCCAAACCAGCTGTGAGGTGCTGGAAGCACCTGAGCATTTCCAGGAGGACCCACATTCCCTGGCACCAGGTAAAAATAAATATTTATTGGAAAATAGTGAATTATTCTGGAAGGTCGTAGAAAAAAATAAGGATTCATCATACCTTGAGCTAGCTCAAGCTCTGAGGAGTGAGTCCAGTGGAAAGTGGGAAAGGTGAGAGCAATGTATCCAGGTTGGGAGTATGTCAAGTGGGAAGTGGAAAAACGGAGGGACGAGTCCATGTGGCAGCAGGTTCCTGGTGAGGTGGGAAGCGGGAAAAATGGGTGGGATGTGTCCACGTGGAAGTGACAAAGGTGGAAGGGATGTGTCCAGGTGGCAGCAGGTGAAATGCAGAGTGGGAAATGTGGGATTCTCCCCCTTCCTGGGGCTGGGGAGCAGAGCTGGCACAGGTGAAGCTTCCCTGTGTCCCTGTGCCGTGTCCTCAGTAGGGATCCATGCTGTGGAAAAGGACAGACAGGGATGTATGGGTGCCAAACCAACCTGGCAGCTCCCACGCCGGGTTCCCCAGCTCCCRGGATGCGGCACCTGGAGAAGGAGAGCAGCGCCAGGAGGCTCAGGAGCAGCTCCAGGCCGTAGAAGAGGAGCAGGATGGCGCTCAGGAATGCTTCCAGGCGCAGGGAATATGTTTGGAGCAGCAGGTAGTACACGGCCAGCACAGCTGCTGGCACTGTAAGTGCCAGGCTAAGGGACAGCGGCACCTTCCGCTGGCACAGGTTCCCCTTGGAGCCTGTRGAACACAGGGTGGGGRTCAGATCATGGAAATAATGGAGGGTTTTGGGTGGGGAGGGAAATTAAAAGTCCCATTCCCATGGGCAGTGACACCTTCCACTGTCCCAGGTTATCCAGGGATGGACTTTGGGGGTGTACCAGGATTCTGAACTCCCGGTGGAGCCTCTGGAATTCGAGAGACTTACCAAAGAAGATGCGTGTGGCCTCAATGCCGAGGTAGAGGAGGAGCAGCACCACGTCCAGCACCAAGTTGGAAACGGGATAGGGCAGGAGCAGCACTGCAAGAGAAGCACCRTACTCCAGCACATCCCTGCCCATGCTGAAGGGATCAAGGAAGAGTTCTGGAGCAAAGGACTCACCTTTGTACACAAACACGAACGCTTCCAAGAGAAAATACGTGGCACTGTACCAGCCGTTGAGAAAGAGCAGGACCTGCAGCGGAGTGGAGGAGCGATGGCGGCCTGAGGGGACACGGGGCGGCCATGAGGGGGGAGCACGGAGCGGGCACGGTAGCGCGGCCCCCCGAGCCCCGCAGTGCCTTGGCCGCCCCCCAGCCCCGTTCCCAGCGGCGCCCCCATCCCGGATCCCTCCCGGATCCCTCSGCTCTCTCCCGTTTCCCGCGCGGTCCCGCTCCCACCCCTGGGCGCCATCTTCCATCTCCATGGGAACCGCCGCCGCCGCGCTCGCCCGCCTGGGGGCGCTGAGGGAGAGGGCGCCGAGCGCGCGGGCGGAGCCGCTCTATCCTCCCACCATGGTCTGGCGGCGCGCGCTCCGCCGYTCTACCCGCACCTCTCTATGGTTGGCGGACTGATCGCTCAGTCGCGGGTTCGCGTCCCCCGTCCTCCAAATCCATCCACTGGGATAAGAATCCCACACTGGAAGATGGGAATATCCGCGTTTAATCCGCGTTTTATCCGCGTTTTGCRGCTGCAAGCGCAGCGCTGAGCTGGGTTACAATGTAAAGCTATTGGGAGTACAGCCGTGACACCGGGTGGGCACAAACACCCAGCAGCCTCTAGAAAACACATCAGATTTATTCCTTTATGGTTTCCAAAAACATTCCAGTCCCAACCAAGGCRTTGGTGCTGAAATGCAGGGACACCCCACAAGCTTCACACTGATTCCCAAAATCCCAAGGGCTGGTCCCCAGAGAGAGGACGAACCAGAGCCAACTCCAACAGAGTCTGTGGGGTGCAAGGAGACGTCAGAGGGTGCTGGAAATAAATCAGCCACGGAAATGGGCAAATTCCTTGCGGAGCCAGAGTGAATCCTGGTAGAAGAGGGGGTCTCCCAGGTGCACAGCTGTCCGCTTGTAGAAGTAGCAGTAGAGCACAGCCGCTGCAGGGAATTTTGGGATAAGAGAGGGCCCCTTGCACCCCCAAAAAGGTGCAGGATCCCACCCTGATCCCGGGAGTCCTTACCCAGCCTCTGGAAAACGAACAGGGTCTGGAGGCCTTCGGTCCAGATGAAGCGGCCAGAGTCGCGCCAGCGCAGGTTCTGAGGGGGTTRGAAAGCTGGGAATAACCCCTGGGGCAGTTTTGGGGAGCACCCCCAGAACTCTCATCCCACTCCCAAGGTTCTGAGCAGGATGCATGCACATSAAGCCATACATGCATATATAACACCTGGAAAAGCCAGGCAAGCCCCCTACCCCAAAGGTTAAGCAGCTCAGAGGATTTAGGCATTGAGCTGGGACCTATTCCGGCTTCAGACGGCAGATCCCTGCAAATCCCTGCAAATCCCCTTCCCGGACAGCGTGGGCAGCACCAGAGCAGCCACAGCAGCTCCCAGASCCCACAACATCCCCTGTGCTCCAGGACAGCAGGATGGGGGCAACTTCAGGAGGTGTCCTGGGGATGGGAACTGCTCCATTGGGAAGGGGCCAAGAAGGAGTTTATTTGGGAAAGGAAAGGGGAAGGTGCTGCCAGATCCAGGAGCCTGGACAGCATTTGAAGCTGTGAGAAGGAAAACCCAGAAAAACCAAATGCTGCTAGCACAGGCTTTCCCTGAGGAAAGGGGATTTTCTAATGGGTCACGGCCCTTAGGGAATGAGCTGGGATGGGGCTGGGATCAGGCAAAACCCTTCCAGCCCTATGCCAGCCATGGAGTCATGGAATGGGAYACCTTCCATGGGACATCTCCTAGTGGGAGATGGTGATAAAGGACTGTGAGAAGCTGAGGATCATGGAAAAATAAATCCCTTGGGAAAATCCAACAGCTGTGCCCACCCCATCCTACCATAATCCAGACATGGAAGGAGATGCTGAGCGCCAGGTAGGCTGCAGAGAGCAGGATGGTTCCCTTGAATTTATGGAAAAGGAGGTTGACCAACCCCGCCTGGAAAACGTAGGTGTTGAAGAACATGAGGAAGAYGATGATGACATTGAAGACGATGGCGATGTCCTGGATGCTGCCAGAAAAACAGAAGGATTGTGGGATTCTGGATATCCTGGAGCTGCTGCCCCACCTCCCTGACACTCACATGAAGAGCACGAGCTGCACGGCCGGAGCTGTGCGGAGCAGCTCTGAGAAGGAGTTCACAAAGAGGTCATAGGAAAGCAGGACAAACTGCATGAACAGCACCAGGCTGTAGTTGCTGGGCTGGAGCATCTTCCTTCCTGGGACTTGGAGCCCTCAGCCCTGGCATTCCAAATGGATCATGGTGCTAGCGGTGCTCAGCAGGGTCTCTCCCGACATCCTGGACCTGGAGAGAGAMCACAGGGATTGGGATGGATCCCAGAAACCAGTAAAACCCAACAAGCTGTGTCCTCTCTCTCCTCCCCAGTTCCGTCTCTTCTTTCTCTCTCAAATTCACCCCAATCCCCACGCGAGGAAATCCAGAAATGAGGGAGACGTGCAGCCCCGAGGGGCAGTCCAAGCAGGTTATTCCTGGTCCCAGTTCATGGGCAGTTCTGAGCAGGTTTGAACATGTCCCACTCCAGGCACGGGGAGTGGAGTGAGAGAGGAGACAAACAGGAATTTTTGGACACGGGAGCAGGTACAGACCTCGTGGGATGCATATCCCACGGGAACAGGTCCCCCCGGGGTCATCCTGGCTGGAGAGGGAGGGAGAGAACAAGGATTCCCCGTCTCCTGGCAGGAGAAGGGCGGTGCTGGGGGTTGAACTCCCCGAGGAGGGAGACATGGAGATGGATGGGGGAAATGGGCTGGAAAGGGATGGAAAGTGGCTGGAAATGGTGGGAAAGGGGCTAGATATGGGGGGAAGAGCTAATCATAGAGAAAGGTATTGGATAGGGGGATTAACGGATCACGTCTTTCCCGTCCCAGACCCCGCGTCACTCCCCCGCTTCCCACTGCCCCAAGCCGCCACTGCGGAGCCCCCGTGTCCCCTCTCGCCGCCCTGTCCCCGACACCCACCCCGCTCCCGAGGCCGCCCTCCCGGCATCCCCAAACACCCTGGGTGCCGGGGGTCCCGGTCCCGCGCATTCCGGTGGGTCCCCGCCGCGWCCCCCGCCCCGGGCGCTCACCCGCCACCGCCATCTTGGTCTCCATGGCAACAGCCGCCGGGGCCGGAAGTGATGGTGGAAGTGGAGGCTGGAGGACACGCGGGGGCCGCTCTGGCCGCCGCTCATCTCGGTGGCAGCACATTCGGGCGGGCGGGGAAACCATAGAGATGAGCGGGCAGAGCGGCGGCCGCCAAGATGGCGGCGCCCAGTGACGAGGAGGGGGCGGTGGGGCCCAGGTACTGCCCCAGGATTGGGGAGGGCGGGGGGCGGCTCCGGCATCGGGAGGGGCTGAGGGACCTCGTGGTTTGCGTTTTGGGTAGCGTCAGGACCGGGTTTAGCGAGGCTGTGGAGCCACGTGTTCCCAGATTTCGGGGAGCCGTGGCACCCAGTATCCCAGATTTGGGAGATCCATGAGTCYCAGATTTTGGGGAACCATAAGGCCATGTGTTTCCGTCCCTTTCTTGTCTCTGTGTCCCGTGGGACAGTTGATTTGAGTGTGTCAGGACCTTCCCCGCCCCCGCAGGGCACAGAAATACCCATTTCTGGGTGCACACGCAAATCACATGCAAATCAGGTGCAAATGAGCACGGCTGGGCTCTTGGCAGGGGGACAGTGACAAGTGACACTGGGAGCCCCTCGCTGCCATTCCCTAGGGGTCTGTGCCCTGGAATTAAGCTCTGCATGTCCTTTTGCTGATCTCCTCCCCAGTGCAGGGCACAGCTGGACTCTGGTTATGCCCTCGGGGTTCMCAGTTCCCCTTTCCATGGTTCCTTCTGGAGATACCAGAGACCCCCAACACCCTCCTCAGTAATCCCCAGGTGCCACCATCCTGAATCCATCCCTGCCACCATTCCCAGGCTGGGAAGCAGCTRGGCCACCATCCTTGGCTGGGAAGCAGCTCCACCCACGCCACCTTTCCGAGGAGCAGCTGGGCCCCCACCACCCTATTGGGGCTCCCAGTTCCCCTTTCCTCAGCTCCTCCCCAGGACCACATCCGCAGCCTGAGCCGGCTCCTTGCTCGCCCGCAGGTGCCACCAGCACACCATGGACCTGCTGGATGTGCCCTTCCTGCCCTTCTGCGCCTTTCTGGGAACGCTGGGATTGCTCTGCGTGGCCATGGTGGGCACCTGGTGCCAGCACTGGCGCGGGGGCTTTTCCCTGGATGGCAGCTCCCGGACGTTCAACTGGCACCCAGTGCTGATGGTGACGGGATTGGTGGTGCTCTACGGCGCAGGTGAGCACAGGGATTGCAGGGATCCCAACACAGCTCCTTCCTGACTTTTTTCCCCCTTACAGCCGCCCTGGTTTACCGCGTTCCCAACACCTGGAGCGGCCCCAAGCTCCCCTGGAAGTTGCTGCACGGCAGTTTGGCTTTGGGAGCATTCGTCCTGACCGTGCTGGGGCTGGCAGCTGTGTTCAGCTTCCATAATTCCCAAGGGACACCCAACATGTACTCCCTGCACAGCTGGATGGGGCTGGGAACTGTCCTGCTCTTCTCCTGCCAGGTGGGAACCACATCCCCCCAGATCCCCCAAACCCTCTGGCATTGCAGGTTTTCCACTCTCACCTTCTCTTCCCGCAGTGGGCAGCGGGTTTTGGAGCGTTCCTGCTTCCCTGGGCTCCTGCCTGGCTCCGGGTGCTCTACAAACCTGTCCATGTTTTCTTTGGCTCCACCATCCTCATGTTGTCAGTGGCTTCCTGTGTGTCAGGAATCAACGAGAAGCTTTTCTTCAGCCTGTGAGAGTTGGGGGGGGCTTGGGAAGATCCCTCACAGGGAAGGGGGGCTTGGGGAGAACCTTCACAGGGATGGGGGTGCTCAGGATGTGGATTTGGGCTGGATTTGGGAGTGACCAGCTCAAAGCAAAGGGAACTGAGTGCTTCCTCCCTCAGGTGTGTGGTTCCCCACACACTTCCCTTGCAGGATTTGAGGGGGTTTAGGGARAGGCTGGATGCATCCAGGAAATTCYCAACCCTTCTTCCCCACTCCAGGAAAAATGAGACCACGGCATACAAGCTCCTGCCTTCCGAGGCCGTGTTTGCCAACACCCTGGGGCTCCTCATCCTCCTCTTTGGGGTGCTGGTGGTGGGTGCCCTGGCCAGGCCCAGCTGGAAGCGCCCAGATTCCAACTGCCCRGACTCCCGCCAGGTATGGGACACGCTGGATGGATGTGGGGAGCTGAACTGCACAGTCTGGAAGGTGGGGAAGGATTGAGGGATCCGTGCTCATCGCTGTCTCCCACAGCCCCTGCTCTCYGCCGAGCGCTGATCCCTGGGATTGCCCAGCATTCCCAAGCTGTGTCCTTGTGCCTCCACGTGCCAGCTCCTGCCTGGATCTCAGCCCATGCCAAACGCCAGCGCTTCCCAGTGCCATCCCTCAGCACCACAGCTGGAGCTGCCAGAGCCTGGCTGGAGCAAAGAGGAGAATCCGTATCACTTGCACTTGAGAGGATCCGGCTCAGGATGGAGCCACTCAGGGACCTCACAGACATGGAATAAAACATTGGCTTCTGCAGSGCTCCAGCACTCGAATCCCTGGGGACAAGGGAGGGTTTGGGAGCTGGGGTGGGAGAGGTGGGAGCTTGGGAGCATGTCCTGACCAAGCCAAGCTTTCCCTTACAAGGACTTGTCCTGGTTGGCTCCTTGGGGACACAGCACAGCTCCCTGTGGTCACCCCACGGGATTTGGGATCACACTCTGCCCCATCACTGCTTCTCCTTTCCCAGAATCCCTCCCAGACCCCGTGCCCAGAGCCATGTGAGCCATGTGGTTTCCCCTCCACACCCTGGGTTTCCTTCCTCCCCCAAAGTCACAGGATCCCTTKTCCCATCTCCCTTCCCAGCCTGGAGCGATGGGGGGCACCCTCACACCCCCAAATCCCACTGTTCCACACCTCCGAACCAGTATGGGAGACACAGAGGTTTTTTGGGATACACGCCTGTCATCAGGGTGGGGACACAGAGTTATTGAGATACAGGTTCCTGCCACCATGGTGGACACAGAGGGTTATTGGGTTCCTGCCACCATGGTGGACACAGAGGGTTATTGGGTTCCTGCCACCATGGTGGACACAGAGGGTTATTGGGGACCATACCCAAAGGTTTATTGGGATACAGGTCCTTGAAGAAACACAGAGGGTTATTGGGATACACCTCCCTGTCACATACAGGGACACGAAGGTTTATTGGGATACACATCTCTGTCACTACAAGGGGACGCAGATTTTTTGGGATACACATCCCTGTCATTACTGGGCATCCCGAAGTCCTTCCAGCACTGCTCTCAGCACGGCTGCCACCGCCACRGCCCCGGGATCGGGCTGTTCCAGCCGGGATGAGCGGATGTAGCTGGCTCTGCCTGCCCCAGCTTCCATGTGCCTGGTGGCCTCTGCTGCTGCCTCTGCGCTCTGCCAGGGAAAACAGTGTTTTCCAGGATAACAGCAGGGATTCCCATCCRATTTTCCCACCATCCTGACTGCCAGCTCTCCATACCTGGACAGCAGCYGCCAGCACCTGGAGCGGGTCAGCACTGGGACTGCGCAGGGACTGCAGAGCCTGTGCAGCTGCACACAGCGAATCCAGCTGGGARAAGCACGAATTAGGCAGGGAGGCAGTGCAGGGGAAACTCCCTGGCATTGCCCTGGAAGCCTTYGTGGCTCCTGGGCTCTCCCAGCACTCACCATTGTCCGATCTCCTGGCGCAGCTCCTCCGTACCTGTGTGGAATGCAAAGAAATTCAGGGGGGATTGGGATTTTTGAAGGAATTTGGATTCCACAGACCCCGGCACTGACCTCTGCATGGCCTCAATCCCAGCRTCCATGGCGTCAGCCCATGCCGGGAAATCGCTGCGGCCCCGCAGGCTCTGGGCGGCCGCCGTCAGGAAGAGCCCGTAGAGCTTTGGGAACACTGTCAGTCTCATCTTGGGAACACTGCTGGGTGTGTCCCCCCATTCCCATTCCCACTTACCACTCCAGAGGAGCCTCCCATCTGCTCCAGCAACACATCAGCCAGGGAGGAGAGGAGCTGGGCTGGCACGGCTGGAGGCGGCCGAGAATGCATCCATTCCTGGATGGCTGCAGGAACAGAAGGGAGAACAGGATGGGGGTGGCCCTGTCACTCACGGGGACAAACAGGGACAGCCCTCAATTCCATGGGGAAGCTGTGCCTGGATGCAGAGACCTTCCAGGACACAGTTAGAGGAAGGGGCACCCCAGGGTTCCTAAATCCCAAGAAGGGATGTCCTGGGGAACTCCCCACTCCCGGGAGGTRCCATTGGGGTACCATTCCCCACAATTCCCTGGATAACATCCCACACACCCACCTTGAGCTGCCCGAGCGTGCGTGTGGCCACAGTCCCCATCACCTGCTCCCCGATCCAGCTCGTTGAGCTTATCCTGAATACCCAGCAAGGTGCTGCACACCCGCTGCAGGACCCGCTCCACCCGCGCCGTGCCGGGCCCTGCRGACAGGAGATGCATCTCTGCACATTCCCACGGGAAACTCAGGCATGGGAGGGGGTGACAAGGGACAGGRGMTCTGTACCAGTTCCWGTCTCATYCTGCAGCTTCCTGGGTCCCTCTGTAGGCGCTGGCACCTCCTCTCTCCGGGTGGTCGCTGGTCCTGCAGGAACGTTGGGCCACGCCATGGCCGTGGTCTTGGCATCTGGAAGAGCCAGAGCTGTGTGACGCCTCGGATCCCATTGGATCCTCACTGGCACATTCAGCAGCCAGAAATTCCACTGCCAGACATCCCACTGACCTTGTGTCCTGACACCCAGCACCTGGAGACCCCAGGCCCCAATCCCAGGCCACATTCCCATCAGGAACTTACCGATCAGCTCCACCAGCTTCTCATCCACCAGCATGAGGGTGAGGGACACTCCGGCCATTTCCAGTGCTGTCATGAAGGATCCCACCAAGGCCCGGGCGATGCGGATCCCTCGGCTCTCTGCAGGATCCAGGAGCGAGGTGAGAGCATTCCAGAGTGGCTGGAGACAGGGAACGAGGCCCCAAGCTCCCCACCATACTCACCCAGGCAGCGCACAGCAGCTCCGGCCACAATTCCCAGCTCCAGGCAGGACAATCCACCCAGGTTGTTCACCACGAGCACCACGGAGGATCCTGCAGGATGGGGGACAGGAKGAGGTTGGGATCTGGGGGATTTGGGGGAACACGGGGGGGTCTGGGGGCCTCACCAGGCTTCAGGGACAAGTGAGAAGCATTGGATGGATCCGTCATGTGCTCCAGCATTGTCTCCACGGCCTTATCCGCTGGCAGCACCTGAAGGGGATATGGAGCAGGGGAAGAGCAGAGTGGGAATAGGGGGAAGCTGGGATGGGGAGGAAACAGCAGGATTCCCCTGTCACCTTCATCCTGCGCACTCCAGCCTCGCCGTGGATCCCTGTGGAGACAGGGCTGTGTCATATCCCAGTCCTGGTGACGCCTCCCTATGGGGGCCAGGGACATTTGGACCCTCCAGGAATCTGAAGGAAACACGGAGGGGCCACTCCTCACCCAACCCCAGCTCCATCTCATCCTCAGCCAGCTGGAACGAGGGCTTGGATCCTGGGATACTGCAGGGAGACAGGCTGAGMCCCAGGGTACCTGTGTGSGTGGGAATGCTCCATTAAACCTGGSGGGATTTCGKGATTTGGGGCTRGGGGACRCAGGACAGCATTCCCATRGRACAACACAACACACCCATGGCCTTGGCAGCCGCCGTCACCTTCTCCACGATCTCATTCAAGCTTGCGCCTGCCTCKGCCAGAGCTCCCGCCACCTGTCCCRGACAGAGCAGGTGAGCAACCTCCCAAAAWTCCCAAAATCCCCAGARAGGGTCCCAGCAGCACCTTGTGGATGAGGATGGTGCCGCAGATCCCGCGGCGCCCGGCTTTTCCTGGCGTAGCGAAGGCACAGTCGTCGCCCACCACCACCATCTGCACGTCGGCCCCCTCAGCCCGCGCCCRCTCCAGGGCCATCCCGAAATTCAGCCGGTCCCCAGTGTAGTTCTTCACAATCAGGAGGATCCCCGCTGTGGGATGGACACAGAGACAACGGGAATGACACAGCACCGGAGGGGGAAACCCCAAAATTACACCGCAGTGTGTTCCCAACCTGCTCCAGCCTGTGCCACTGCCCKGATGGCTGCAAGGACACTGCCCACGGACGGTGATGCGAACACATTTCCAGCCACCACTCCAGTCAGCATTCCCTTCCCGACATAGCCTGTGGAGTGGGAAGAGGGCTCGGCACCGTGTCCATGGGTGGAGGGTTCAGGTGGGGCAGGGGAGGGGTCTCACCTGCGTGGGCGGGCTCATGGCCGGACCCCCCTCCGGACAGCAGGGCCACACGGCCACGGATGGCCGGCAGGTCACCCCGMAGGACCACCCGGTGTCCCTGGAGCAGCCGGAGGCCGGGGTTGCAGGCCACCAGTCCCGCCACAGCATCGTCAGCACAGCCAGACACCGCGTTCACCAGTTTTTTGGGGATCTGGAGGGAAAATGGAGAGCGGTGGGTCGGGAAARGGAGGAATGCCAACCCCACAGGAATGATAACCCCCCTGCTCCRGGCTCACCTCCATGGGAGCAGTGCGCAGCACTCAGATCTGAAGATAGAACCTGTCTGGAAAGAGGGCAAGGTCCAGGCTAGAAGGGACAGCGGTCCGGAGAGCGGGGGCAGGACGGGGGAGGGTTGGGATAGGATGGGAGTGTCTGGTGGGAAAGGAGGACTGGCGTCGGTGTTGTACCCAAATGGGGAACCCTGCCAAGCAGGGAGTCCCTTTTGGAATGGGAAACCAGGATGGGACACTACCCCCTCCAAGGAGCCGGGACCTCCTTCTGGGATGGGGCACCAGGATGGGTCCACCCTAAATCGGGACCTCTTCTTGGGATGAGAGAGGACCAGGACCACCCCTCTGCCCCCTCCCCCCAAAAGAGGGACCCCCTTTGGGTGGGAAATCASGATGGTACCACCCCCAAACAGAGACCTCTCTTTCTTTGTGATGAGGGGACCCCCACCTTCAGGGATCTTCCCTCAGCGCAGGCCCTGGATGGATCCACACACACACCCCASAGTGCGGACCCCTCACCCCGGGTTTGAGGGGGCTCAGAGCTGCAGGGGAGTAGGGAGAGAGCTACACCCTTCCAAGCGGGACCCTCCCCTCGGGATAGGGCGCAGGATCAGGGTGGGATCACCGCGGATGCCGTGGGTTTTGGGGGAGACCCCCCGCGCATCTCCCTCCACACCTGCGCTCCGCGGGGCGCGCCAGCAGCCCCTCTCGTCTGCACCCACGGTCCTCCCAGCGGGCCAGAGCGGCCCCTCTCGTCTGCTCCCATGGTCCTCCCAGCSGGCCAGAGCGGCCTCTCTCGTCTGCTCCMCACRGTCCTCCAAKTGAGCTAGAGCGGCCCSTCTCGTCTGCTCCTCCCGCGTCCTCTCAGCGGGCTAGAGCGGCCCAGTGCCCGCACTTCCCGGAAGTGGCGGCCGCGGCGGCGAAGAGGCCGCGCTCCCSGTTCCCCCCCGGCTTCCCCCGCGCCCCGCCGGGACTCCCCGGGACCTCCCGGTTCCCCCAGCATGTCCTACAACTACGTGGTGACGGCGCAGAAGCCGACGGCCGTCAATGGCTGCGTCACTGGTACCGCGGGGCGGGGGGTGACGGGAACACGCCGGAGGGGCGTGGGAGAGCGGTTGTGGGGTACCGGGGTGCTGGGCGGTACGGGGGAAMCCGGGGATGGAGGTGCCGGGGGGCACTGGGTATCCCGAGGGGGTTTTGGGGCACCGGGAAAGGATGGGGAGTACGGGGAGGGTTTTGGGGTAAGGCGGGGTTTAGGGGTCACARGTGGGTTTTAGGGTACGCGGGGGTTTTGGTGTTCTGGGGGTTTTGGGATACCGGAGGGTTTTGGGGTAGAGGGAGGATCAAAGTGTTCCTGATATCCAAAAYAGGAGTAAGAAGGAGTGGGATGTGGGGGAGCCCCAAGAGCCCTGGGAGTGCTGGGGATGGTGGAAAGAGATCCCAGGAATGAGGAGGATTCCTGAGGAAAGGTAGTGGGAAGTGCATTCCTGGGGAAAAATAAAGAGTGCAAGCTCAGGGAAGGTGGTTTCTGGGACCAGTGGACACTGTGGAAGGAATGCACTGTGATTTTGGGATGCAGACCAGCCCCAGTGTGCCAGCTGACCCCTCCTCCAGGATTCCTTCCCTCTTTTTCCCAGGACACTTCACCTCTGCGGAGGACCTGAACCTGCTGATTGCCAAGAACACCCGACTGGAGATCTATGTTGTCACAGCCGAGGGGCTTCGGCCCGTCAAGGAAGTGGGAATGTACGGAAAAACCACCGTCATGGAGCTCTTCCGCCCCAAGGTGGGTGCTGGAAGGGCAGGGAGGGGTCTGTGCCCACCTGGGCAGGGCAGGGTGGGAATTTTCACCTATGGAATTTGCATCGTCTGCGTTCTTTTGGGCAGGGGGAGAGCAAGGATTTGCTGTTCATCCTGACAGCCAAGTACAATGCCTGCATCCTGGAATACAAGCAGAACGGGGATAGCATTGACATCATCACCCGWGCCCATGGAAACGTGCAGGTGAGAGGGGCTGCAGCACCTGGAATGGGAATTCTGTTTKCTAGGGATGGTTTTGTGTTCCTGGTGCAGCAGGGTGTTGGATTTCGGTTCTGTTGGTTATTCCTTTCTGGACGCCGCATGTGGGATGGGTCACCTGCAGCCACGGGATGTTTCCAGAGTTAGTCTAGGTCTCTGTGAGGATTTGTGGAATTCTGGAATGGTTTGGGTTCAAAAAGAGACCTTAAAGCTGATCCAGTTGCCTTCCAAGGGCAGGGACACCTTCCACTATCCACCCTGGCCTTGGACACTTCCAGGGATGGAACAGCCACAGCTTCTCTGGGAAATCTATYCCAGGGCCTCACCACACTCACAGAGAAGGATTTATTCCCAATATCCCATCTGAACCAGCATGTGGAATCTTGGAATGGTGTAGGATGGAAGGGACTTATGGATCATCTCATTSCACCCCTTGCCATGGACAGCTTCYACTAGACCAGGATGCTCYGAGCCCTGTCCCCATGGRTTCAACCATATCCTTGGGAATGTTTGTGAAATAACAAATCAAATTTAAGCCTAAACTCCTCATAAGATTCAAATATTCCCTGGGAAATGAGTCMTCTGGGAATTTGTGGTGAAGGCTTGGGATGTAGGAGTTGCTAGGTGTGGCAGCTGGAAAGACATCTCCTCCTTAGGCTTGGYTTCCCAGCTGGAATTTTCAAGCCTGTTGGGAACTGTGCAAGGAGCCATTCCTCACCTAAGGGCTGGCAACTCCTGTCTGTGTTTTCCAGGGATATTTTCCTGGCACTAATCACTGTTTTCTTTCTCTTCTGTGTGTAATTCTCCTTCAGGATCGCATCGGGCGCCCCTCGGAGACCGGGATCATTGGGATCATTGATCCYGAGTGCCGGATGATCGGGCTGCGGCTCTACGATGGCCTCTTCAAGGTCATCCCCCTGGATCGGGAGAACAAGGAATTGAAAGCCTTCAACATCCGCCTGGAAGAGCTCCAGGTCATCGATGTGAAATTCCTTTACGGCTGCCAAGCTCCCACCATCTGCTTTGTCTACCAGGTGCCTGCTTATCCATGGAGARCCCATGGTTCCAAAGGTTTTCCAAAGGCTTTTTTGGAAGGCAGAGTGAGGCATGATTCCAGCTCCTCCAGGTCCATGTTCCTCTGTGCTGCTTTGTTCCATGTCTGGGAGAGGGAAGCAATGTTTCCCCACAGGATTCCTGGGCAGCTGTGCCTTGGATGGGAATGTTTYCATGTTAAACCCTCAGGAGGAGTTTATGGATCATTCCAGCAAGTGGATTAGATCCAGAGCCAATTGTTTTCCATAGTGAGACYTGAATCTTTTGGTTTAAAAACAAGGCAACAACTTGTTTGGTATTTTTGGGAGGCGTTTCCAGCTATGTGAAGAGGATCCATAACCTCTCCCATGCGCTGGCTCCTCATGGAGGGAGCATTCCAGGCCTTCTCTGGATGCCTGTTTTGATCCAAAGAGCCTTTGCCATGCTGACTGAGGGATTAGCTTTCCTTTGTTAAATTCCAGGCTATCCCCAGGCTTAGCTGGAATCCCRTGCCAGCAGTGGCTCCATTATTTCCTGTTCGGAAATAATTCCTGCTGGATCCCCCCAGACTTTGTGGGGGTAAGAAAACATTTTGTCTCCACATGCCTCGAGTTTGAGGGAACAGTTGGATGATTTTGGGAGGCTTTCCCAGCCTTGGTGATTCCATGATTCCATGTTAAAACAACTTGGATCCTTGGAGCAGGAGCAGGATGTCAGTTCTGACTCATAAAGCTCTGAATTGTTTCAATCCCTGCCCTGAAACGGGGGAAGACACCACAAAAATGGGGTATATGATAGGAAACCTGAATTCTTGAAATTTTACTGGAGCTGGAGGAAGGGATGWTATTCCATAGTGCCATTCATGCCTAGGTTGTCAAAGAAACGCAAATCCCAGAAAAATAGGTTGTATAACAATGGGAAAATACTTTCCAGTCTCTTTTGGCACAGGGATTTCCTCGGGGGATATTTATATATGGAAAAGTTTGGGAGACTGGTGGTGTGTGGATGTGAGGGAGGATGAGGAGGTGGGAAATCTCAGCAGCTCTCAGAATTGATGTTTTTGCAGGAGATGAGGTGTAATTTCCTTTATTCTGGAATTTCATCCACTTGTGGCTTCTCTTGCAGGACCCCCAGGGCCGCCACGTGAAAACATATGAGGTGTCCCTACGGGAGAAGGAATTCAACAAAGGCCCTTGGAAGCAGGAAAACGTGGAGGCTGAAGCCTCCATGGTCATTGCAGGTTGGGCCTTGTTTGTAAAAGATTTTCCCACATTTTTCCAGGCTGGATGTGTCCCTTTTTCCAGGGAGGTTATCTCATGTTTGTTGTGTGTCCCGCAGTGCCAGAGCCCTTCGGTGGTGCCATCATCATTGGGCAGGAATCCATCACTTACCACAATGGGGATAAATACCTGGCTATCGCTCCTCCTATCATCAAGGTGAGTGATCCAGGACTGCATCCCACAAAATCCCTCTTTTCCTGCACCTTCCAGCCAGGAATTCAAACCCCTCTTGTCCCAGGTGTGGTCTGAAAGTGCCGCTTACTTGGATTTCAGAGGTTTGGCTTCTCCGTTGCTGTTTTTGGGGACTGAGGGGCATCTGTGATCCCTGCATGTCTCCACTCTCTGTAGAGTCCTTGGAATTTTGTTTGTGTCCTAGGGAATGGGATTAATTAGGAATTAGTGCATGGTCTGGGCACAATTCCAGGTCAGAGCCTGGTTTCATTTCACGCAGTGGAAAACATGGATGAGCCCCTTGSAGACTTGGGGAGGAGAAAAGGCGTAAGGATTTGGGGACAGCAATTGGACTTGTGGGTTTTGTGGGATTAACAGGACACTTCCCATGTTGAATCAGAGCAGGAAGCACCAATGGCATGGCTGAGGAAATAAGAACAGGCTAAAAATCTTGGGGGAAGAAATGGGAATATTGATGCCTGAAGGTCCACTCTTGGAGCTCTGGAATGAGGAGTCTGGGAGTGCGTCAGATTGCCTTTTGGGGCTGTTTCAGTGGAATCCCAGAATTCCCTCCTTTTCCTGCAGCAAAGCACCATCGTGTGTCACAACCGTGTGGATCCCAACGGATCCCGGTATTTGCTGGGAGACATGGAAGGGCGGCTCTTCATGYTGCTCCTGGAGAAGGAGGAGCAGATGGATGGCACTGTCACCTTGAAGGACCTGCGTGTGGAGCTCCTGGGAGAGGTAGGAATCACCTGGGCCATCCCTGGTTCTTACCTGGGATTCTCCCAAGTTGGGAAAGGCTCTGTTTAGGAATGAGTAGGAATTTTGGAGCCTGGGGAGGTGATGCTTCCCATTGGTCACAGCTCTGATTTGCTACGTCCCAGGAAATTCCCTCTGTGGGCACTTAAGTTTACACTGTTTTCCTGGTATTTCCTGGTATTGGCACTGGGAGAAGCTTGGACTCTGCGATTTATGAAGGGATTAAATCCCCTTCCCGTGCCCAGGGGATGGGAAACAGCTTAGTGGTGCAAGGTGTGTGTGTGCCAGGACTTTTGCATGCCAGTGGTGGTTCACCTGCCCTCTTCCCACTTCCCAGACATCCATTGCCGAGTGCCTGACMTACCTGGATAACGGAGTGGTGTTTGTTGGGTCCAGGCTTGGAGATTCCCAGCTTGTAAAGGTATGTGGCAGCTCCTGGTCATGTGTTCCCATGACCAAGGACTTGATTTCYGTCAAAACCTGGAGATGA